GACTTTACTCTCGTAATGTTAGGCTACAACTTTTATTCTTGTAATGATATTGTTAGCAGAAGTGGCTACACAGCAGCTAGACCCGGTATCCCAAAGGATATATTTCGGCAGCAAAACAAGGACTCCACACTCTGGTTGCGTTTGTGCTCTGAGAGAGGAGGGGCGGGGGCACACCCGACCCACCTGAACTCGGCTTTTTATTAACCATACCACGTGACAAAACCAGTTCATACATCACTTCTATTTACAAATCTGTGAAATAAAAACATAAATCAGATCATAAACCTCAACACCCCCACTTGCTTTGACGTTAATCCTATTTACAATCAATAATATTTTAAATTACATTCCAAAGATAAAACTGTCAAACTTGACTAACTTGAATGTCGTTACTGGTTTGGTTAATACATCTGCTACCATCAGTTCTGTTGGACACTAATACAGACTGACCTTGCCATCCCTTACAGTTGATCTCACAAAGTAGTATTTTATGTCAACGTGTTTACAGCGCTGTCTCTTTACAGGGTTTTGGGCTATTGCTATGGTCCCTTGGTTGTCTTCATAAATTTTAGCTGGTACATATTCATAACAGTCAATGTTCTTAGGTAACTGTATCAAATATAGACATTCCTGAATTCCCCATTTAGACAAACTTATACAATAACCAGTTGTATAATGGCGATATTTTACATCAGCTGCCCAGTCAGCATCACTGTAGGCATGCAATCCTAAATTTTCATCCTCACATTTTTTGTAACACAACACAGTTCCTTTTCAGAAGAGCCTTTAAGGTATCTTAACACATGTTTCACAGTAGTCCATTGTTGTTCTGTTGGTTCTGCAAAGTACTGTGACAGCTTACTCACTATAAAGCTTAAATCAGGTCTTGTACAAGACGTCAAATAAATGAGGCTGCCTACAGCTTCTCTGTATTTTGCAGCCTTGTCTATCCTTTTCCCATCATCATTATAGTCCTGTTTCTGTTCACAAGGAGTAGCTCTAGGTTTGCAGTCCTGCATGTCAAACCTCTGCAGTATTCTCTTTACATAATTTTTCTGAGACATTTTTACAGTTTCCCCCCTGTTCAAAAATTAATCCCAAGAAAATATTTCAGCCTTCCCAAATCCTTCATTTTAAATCTTACCATGAGAACCTCTTTAACACTTTTCAGTACTTTCTCATCAGTAGCAGCGATGATCAGATCATCCACCCATACTATAAGTATGTATGACTTTATCTTTTTCCGTCTGCCTGGTGTAAACACAATAATCTGCTGGATTTTGCACAAACTTGTTTTCACAAAGATAATCATGCAGGTTATTGTTCCAGTTTCTCCTTGCCTGTTTAAGACAATATAATGATTTATTTAATTTGCACACAACCCGTTCATTTCCGTTTGGTTCTTCTTCATAACCTTCTGGTTGTTCCATGTATATCTCACGATCTATCAATGCATGGAGATAAGCGGTTTTAACGTCCATTTGGTGCAAGATAAGGTTTTCTTGTGCTGCTTTCTGCATCAAAACTCTAATACTGGTCAGACTTGCAGTAGGAGAGAAAGTCTCTTCATAATCAATACCCCTCTTCTGACTAAATCCTTTTGCCACGTATCTAGCTTTGAACTTGTCAGTTCCATCTGCAGGAAGTGTTGTTAAAGTGAATGTATCGTTTTCTCTAAGAGATAACATTTCTTCATCCATTGCTTTTTTCCATTCTTTTGAGTATGGAGAATGTACAGCTTGTTCAAATGTTAAAGGTACGTCACACAGAAGCCTGTAGCAATAATCAATATTTGTTAACACTAGGTCGTCGAGTTCTTTTTCTGTTACATATTCATTCGGGTAATTTGGCCTTTTTCTTAGCCTAGAAGGGTAACGCTTTGTATCTTGATCTGCATCACAAATGGCATCATCTTTATTTTCCGCCTCTAAAAGAGTAGCTGGACTCTTTTCAAGTATTTCTTCCTCCTCTGTGTATTCCTCCTGTTTTGGCTCTTTAAACTCATCTGTTTGTTTTGTGATCCTATTAGGTATGTCAAACTCATCTTCTAATATGTCAGTTTGTGTCTTTTGCTCCATCACATTTTTAGTTAAAAACTTCACTAGTCTATGTTTTAAGACTTTACCTTTGTGAGGTAAATAAATTAGGTAGGCTGGGCTGTTTTTGTCATATCCTACAAAAATTCCTTCCTCACATCTTGAGTCCAGTTTTCCTTTTTCTTGTTTGTAGGCAAAACAGGCTAAACCAAACTTCTGCATCCTGGATAAATTTGGTCTTTTCCCACGAATCATCTGATAAGGGGTTTGCCCTGTACGTCTATTAAAACACCTGTTTCTTATTTGGGCCGCTGTCTGAACTGCGTATACCCACATTGTTTTAGACAAGTTGGTCTCTATCAGCATACATCTCGCAATGTCAAAAAGTGTACGCCAGTTTCGCTCTGCAGTGCCATTTTGCTGTGGCGAATACGGGGCTGATGTCTCGTGTCTAATGCCATGTTTACTCAGTAATATTTGGAAAAGCTTCCCAGTAAATTCTGTACCATTATCGGACCGTATACATTTTATCTTGCCGTAGGGCGCTGTGTGTGCAAAGAATTTTTCTGTTGCCTGCACAGTATCATTTTTATATTTTAGGAAATAGACAAAAACTGCACTTGAAAAGTCATCGGTAAATGACAACACATATCTGTAGACCTCTCTGGACTGTGGATCTATTGGCCCGGCTAAATCTGTGTAAACCAGCTCTAATGCAGCTCTAGCTCTTTTATATGGTTCCCTGTTCTTCCATTGGGCAAATTTACCTTGAATACACACTTCACATTGCTTTAATTGGTTTTTCATTATTACCTTTTATGTTCATTCCATCAACAACACCCTGTAAGTTTTGTATATCATTATAATTACAATGCCACAAAATTTCATGCCAGGTTTGCATGTCATAAGAACCTTTACACTGGTCATCGCATTCATTACTCACAGTTTGTAGATAGTACAGTCTGTTGTGCTCTTTGATGGGGAACTTTGTTCCATCTCAGTGTACCAAAGCATCTTGTCCTTGCTTGAAGATCACTGTTGCCCCATTTTTTGTGGCTGCTTTTACAGAAAAAATGTCTTGTGGATAAGAGGGGATGTACAGTGCCTGCTTAAGAATTGTCTTGTGGTGTCGCCCCCTGCTGTCCATCAGAGACACCTCTGCATCTCCTCGTCTTTTCGCCACTCCATTGCATCTGGTGCCATCAGCCAATTCGATGCAATGTGTCTCGGGTTTGAAGTTGTCATCAAAATCTTTAAATCTGCCAAGATCTGCTATGATATGCGAGGTTGCTCCGGTATCCACCATCAGACCTTTGGGTTTGGTTCCATCACTCCTCCCAATCTCCTGGTCAGCATCACTCAGCCAGAAAACATATTCTTTACCGTCCTCTTCTTCAGCAGCTGTCCACGCCACATCCTGTCTTTGCCTTCTCCTGCATTCATCCTCTCGGTGTGTGGAGTTTTCACAAAAATTGCACCATTTCCTGCGGTGGCACATTTTAGCTCTGTGTCCCCGTTGTCCGCATCTGAAGCACACCTGGTTGACGCTGTCTGTTCTCCTGTCATTCATCCGCACCTGTGCATGCTTTAGGCTTGATTGGACCCGTGCTTTCATGACGTTGACCGCCGCGGCAGCCGTGCGTATTCTCTCTGTGTCTTCATAACTCCTTAATTTGCATTTAAAGTCAGAAAAAGTCATTTTATCTTCACTTTGTGTGACATAAATGATGAATGGTTTGAATGACTCTGGCAGTCCTTTCAGAATCATAGTGATAAGCAGGCCATCACTCATAGTTTCACCTGCATTTCTTAATGCTGTTATAGCGGCCTCAGCTCTAAGAACATAATTTGTCACATCTTTGCTGCCAACTTTTTGCAGTAAGGTAAGTTCTGTATATAGACTGATAATGCGAGGTTTATCCTTGCCCGCATAAAAGTCTCTCAAAATCCTCAGAGCCTTCCGTCCATCATCAGCAGCTTCACGCATTATTAGCGATAAACTTGTATCATCCAGGAATTGGATAAGCTCCGCATACGCCTCTGCGTTTTTCGTGTCTTCATCTTCTTCTTGTCCGTCTTCCTCTTCTTTCTTTACAACTACGTCCTTTAATCCTTGTAACCGAAGGTGGCCAAGAAACTTTGCCTCTCCACAGCTCGTACTTCTCCGCATCTCCGTCGAAAGCCAAATGTGACCACCGGTTACTCCCTTCTGTAGTTCTTCTGTTCATGGTGCTGTGTGTTACGTCTTTCCTTAGCGGTGGTTCACCTGCGCTTCTGGTACTCTTCACTTGGGTCTCTGTGTGTACCTGGGCCCATAACCTGTTAGCAGAAGTGGCTACACAGCAGCTAGACCCGGTATCCCAAAGGATATATTTCGGCAGCAAAACAAGGACTCCACACTCTGGTTGCGTTCGTGCTCTGAGAGAGGAGGGGCGGGGCACATCCGACCCACCTGAACTCATACCACGTGACAAAACCAGTTCAAACATCACTTCTATTTACAAATCTGTGAAATAAAAACATAAATCAGAGCATAAACCTCAACAGTTACAACTCTATACTCATAATTTTACGATTTTATTTTCTTAATTTTATGACTTCATCTGGTAATTTTACGACTTTATTCTCGCAATTTTGACTTCATCTCTTAATTTTACGACTTTACACTCGTAATTTTACGACTTTATTCTCGCAATTGTGTGACTTCATCTCGTGATTTTAAGACTTTATTCTCCAAATAAAAGAAAAAAAAAATCTCTAGAAAAAAGAAAAAAAGATGTTCACAGCCCCTCCTGTTAAAAATAACTTATTGTTGTCATGAAACACAAAGAGCTTTAATCAGGGATTTTATTATTCTCTTTAAATGCATTTAGATAAATAGTTTTTATTGCTGATATTATTTCGCTCTTCCTGGTTCTGCTGGATTCACCAAACTTGGTCCGTTCCTGGAAGGAGGCGGGGGCGCCGCTACTTCCGCCTTACTTCCTGCCCATGAAGAAAACTAAAACATTAAACCAGACGCCGGCGGTCCCTCCGAGTTAACCCGGTCTCTTTGCTCCGTGTGGGTTCTGCTCGGCTGCCGGTGGTTCTGGGAGCCAGCTGGGGCCCTGAGGAGAGTTTGGAGCCATGGCTGAGCGAGGAGAGGAGGGAATGGAGGCCGCTGAGGGCGGAGAAGGTATGTGGGTTCATTAGGGATTCATTCAGGAGAACCAAGGGCCCGAACCTCCAGGATCTCCTCAGATCTGAACATGGAGAGCACAGAGGGGCCCCGGCCCTCCGCTCCGGTTCTGGTTTCATAAACTTCCCGGTGAAGTTTTCAGAGGCCCCATAGGAGCGCCTCTCTGCTGCTTTTCTACAGGAAAACAAACCAAAGAAGCTCAGATTCCAGAGGTCAGAAACAGGAAGATGTTTGCTGCTGCAGGCTGGGAATAGAACCTACAACCTCTGCTTTCCATGATTCCTGGATTATATCTGCAAGGTTTATTGATGCAGGCCAGAGCAGAACAAGAACAGCTGATTTAAGGTGATTGAAAAAAGAACAGATATAACTGAAACAAAATGCTTTCAACTAATCAGTAGAGATCAAAGAAAAACTCCCTTAATGGTTATAGCTGTTTATAAAAATACAACGTGGAGGTAACTTTCTTTAAAAGACAGTTCACTCCATATTTTGAAAGATGTGGTTTCTGTGGAAGAAGATAATGGCAATAAAAAAAACGTTTTCTTTTTCATTTTGAGTTAAAAATGTAAAAAAAAAAGAGTCACAATTCTGACTTTTTTCCTTTATTTAAAAAAAAAAAAATCAGATAACAGTTTTTTATTTTTTCCAGTGACCCTAATAATAACTCTTCTTTGGACAGGGACGGATTTAGAAAATGTGGGGCCCTAGGCAAAGACAGGCAGGGGCCCCTCTGAATGGAGAAGACAACACATAGAACAAACCCAATATATAGATAGAGAAATGTTAATAGACTAGACATCCATTATCTGTTCTAGGTTTTGTCCCTCTCTTCTTGTCCCTTTTCTTCTTGTTTTCCTCTCTATGTTTTGTACTCAGCTGACTTTTCATGCTGTCTCTAAAGGAATGAAAGATTTTTTCCAAGCACTAAGCTCACTTAGCTGATTGCTCCTTCCTGTGTTTCCAAAAAGGCCAAAGTAAATAACCCAGTCCTTCTTTTCACTGTAGACAAGCCATGATCTGCTTATCTGTTCTCCATTTTTCATTTGGATGAAATAATAGCTACATGAATCATGACAGCAGACAAGATAGAGGAGAGCAGGAGGCGGGGTTACCAATCTACTTGCTCTGGAGAGCAGAGTTCGCTGCTTTTAGATGTTGTCTCCAAAGTCTCCAGTAGCAGAAAAAAGTCTCTAGATTTGGCGCTAGGAGCTTTTTAGAAATCAAAGTGCTAGAGGGGTCTGAAAAGTGGCTAAATATAGCGACTAAAGCGCTAAGTTGGCAACACTGCTCTTTGCAGTGTTTGTTTTCAAATGGTTTGCGGCTGTCTGTTTGGACCTTTCTGAACATGTGCAGCAAATGGACTGATCCAATATGGTGGACACTGAAGGGGGGGGGGGCTGAGACACACTTAATATTAGCAGCGTTCTGATGGCATTTTAGCCAAAGGATTTTTATCAAAAACTTAATTGGCTGTAATCAACGTCTGCAGAGTATTTCAATGTTTTCTCCGCAGCCGTCCCCGTTGATGTGACCCACAGATTTACGCTGTCAGTGATTAAACTGTGACGAGGTGTGAAGCATTCACAGCAGTGGCAGATCTATAGTGCTCTATAAATGATGCACAGGTAACACTTTCTTTCACATTACAATAATAACCATGTAATAACACGGTAATGACAAAGCAAATCACACTATAGTACTTTGAAACAAGAAGATTTTTTGAGGGGTAATTACCTCAAGATGAAGGTACATCATTTCAAAATGATAACCTGCATGTAATTATTATAATTGTTTGTAACAATGTTAATTACCACTAGATAACAACATAATAGTTTCTATTATCGGCCACCAGCTACCAACGGCTTACAGAGTAAATTGGAACCTATGATCAGGCAAGTAAAGCATTATAAAACTGAACTCAGGTTACATATAAATAGAAGTTTAGTAGATTGGCTTGCTGTCTTCTAGGTTTATTTTTCTGTTATGTAACAAGCAATAAACAGCATTTTACCAGGTTATAACTCATTCATTTATTGCTGTCTGCTCAATGAATATGAGTTACTGTTAATAAGGGTTACAAATCTATCAGGTCAGACTTCGTCTTTCTGCCTAAAATTTGAAGCACAGCGCATACCAAAATTATTAGTTTTTCTTGTTCCCTAGTAATAAAGTGTAACTTGCTTTGTTATTACAATGTTATTATATAGTTATTAATGTACTCTAACAGAAAGCATTACTGACACTGCTGGAGGACATCAGTAACAGGAGAATTAACAAGTCCTCAGGGTGCACCCAGGTTTGCCACTTCTACTCTTAGAGCGGAGCTCTTCAACAGGGGGTCTGTGACCCCTAGAGGGTCCCAGAGGTACTGCATTGGGGTCGAGAAAGTATTGGATGATTAGACTTTTTTTTTATATTCCCTGCTGCAATTTTTCCACTGATTGAAATGTCTTTAAATCCACAATAACATGAATTGAACAGACTGTAGTAAACAGATAAATGGAGGCAGAAGATCTCTTTCAGTCATCAATGAACACATTCAGCGACACACAGGAGCTCATTCAATCTGGGCACAGTTTCATTCACAACACCTGTCCCATCAACCAGGAATCAGAAATACTTTAATAATCCCAGGGAGGGATTACTTTAGTTACATTACTCCATCTGGAATAGAGTGACTATAGGACCAGTTTTATTGTATTCAGACCCTTTGCTGTGACTCATATTCTATTCAGTTTATTTCCATAGCGCCAATTCCGATCATGTCATCTCAGGTCACTTTCCAGTTCACCAGATTATCCAGTCAGATTGATTCAAAGTTTTCTATCTAAGGAAAACCAGCTGATTGCATCGACTCATTGACTCTTCAGCAATCCCTCACACTAAGCATGCTTGTAGCGACAGTGGAGAGGAAAAACTCCCTTTGAACAGGAAGAAACCTCCAGCAGAACCAGGCTCAGTGTGAGCGGCCATCTGCTGAGGCCGACTGGGGTTCAAGGAGACAGAAGCTGACATAGAAAAAGAAGCATAGATACAAAAGGCAACTGTCAACCAGCTCCACAGGCGGCCCTGTCCAGGAAACACACAGCCAGGCAGACGAGCTCCGAGCCAGCTCCATGTCAGAGGATGAAGGATGTTTAAGGCTACGTTCACCCTGCAGGCCTTGATGCTCAATTCCGATTTTTTGTGAAATCTGATTTTTGTTAACTTTATGTTGCCGTTTATATTTCCAAATATATGCGACTTGTATGTGATCTCCTGCGTGAACTGCAGTCATATAACTCAAGTGTCCTGCATGCGCAGTGGAGGACGTAATGACATCACAGGGCAGCGTGCTCTGTGTTTACGGAAGTAAACATGGATGGTAGTGCTGGAGTTCATCTAGCGATCTAGCGATTCGCAATATTAAAAACTGAATATTTTCAAGACGGTTAAACATAAATGCTGCTCTCTGCATCATCATCCTCCATGATTGTTGTTTTGCTTCCTGCTTCTGTGTAGCACGATGCAGAATAGTGACCTTTGTCGGGTATTAATGGCGTTCAGGTCCGATGAATCTGAACCTGGCCGTTCAAACACAGGTTCCTGTTTGAAAAGGTCAGATTCGTATCGAATTCAGGACCACAGAGCCAAGCAGCCTGGGTCGCACTGGAAAAAATCTGACTGTGTTGTTCAGACTGCCATGGATCACTGCAGGCTGCAGTGAATACATGTAACACATGTAACATGTAAATAGAGTTCTATGGGCCCCCCAGGAACTTTGGGCCTTAGGCAACTGCCTAGTATTTCTTAATGGTAAATCCCCCCCCTGGATCCTAGCTGCTGCTAACTTTTAGTTTGTTCTGTTTTCGTGGTTTGCTGAGACACGGGATCCATTTGGAAGCAGTTTTAAACGAAGTGTCTGGTTATTGTGAAAAGCTGCTGCAGCTTCATCCTTCCTGTAAATCCTGCAGCTCCAGGTTCTATCTGCATATTCAAACACTACAGCCGATGCATGCCTGCATCTGACGGCTGCAGTGCAGCTGCACCAGCTGACGGGGTTAGGATGAGGAATGGTTTCTATTTATATGAAAGGTGGTGCTAAATAGGACAGCAGTAGGTCCAGTTTTCAGGGTCTGTTCTTCTCCAGCCGTACAACAGCCAGCAAGCAGCCTGAGGTCAAGCTAAGCTGTTAATGTGCTTCTTTCAGACGTCATCGATGATCCCATCTTGGAGCAAGGAGTGGTGGTGCTCAGGGGGTGAGTTTCTTTCCTCAACATCTTTCTGTTCTCTTTGTTATGAATCTAAAAGGTCTGAGAACAAGCAGCCAGACAAAGCGCCATGTTTGCGGCGCATCAGGGAGGTCCGACCGGACTGGATCCTTTCCCTGCTGCTGTTCTCTCCACTGAGTTCATCAAACCGACATAAGTCAGGGTTCTCAGGGCATCCTGGCTTATTTACGCCTCAGCTGGGTTTCACCAAGGCAGTAGGACATTAGTTGCCATGGTGATTGGCTGGTGCAGATAGCTTGCTCCACTCCAGGCTAACAGCCAGGCTCAGTTTATAGGTTCAGTCAGCGTCACACTAATGACAAACCAATGGGTCATTAATTCATGTTTTTTTTTTTATCAATAAACACAGCTAATCTATTAATTTCCTAATATATTCAATTTTATTCAGTTCATTTCTATAGCACCAATTTACAACACAAGTCATCTCAGGTCACTTTATAGAGACAGTTCAACCAGATCATCCACTAAGACTGGTTAAAAGTTTTCTATCTAAGGAAAACCAGCTGATTGCATCGACTCATTGACTCTTCAGCAATCCCTCACACTAAGCATGCTTGCAGCGACAGTGGAGAGGAAAAACTCCCTTTGAACAGGAAGAAACCTCCAGCAGAACCAGGTTCAGTGTGAGCGGCCATCTGCTGAGGCCGACTGGGGTTCAAGGAGACAGAAGCAGACATAGAAAAAGAAGCATAGATACAAAAAGCCCGGTCCAGGAAACACACATCCAGGCAGACGAGCTCCGAGCCAGCTTCCATGTCAGAGGATGAAGAGAGCACATCCAGTTAGTCAGTCAGAGAAACAGGACTACACTGGAAAACAGGCCAAGCTCCAGCATCTAGAAACAAAGGTGTTGATGGCAGCAGCACAGCTGATATTTCTCTCCAGGATGGAGTCACAGCCAAACAGGAACAGACCAGATGAAGCTACTATGAGAAAAAGCAGAGAGAGCAGAACGTTAGAGATTGAACTAACAGATTCTGCAGGGTGGGAGAATAGAGATAGAATGATGAAATGGGGGTCCCTATGTCCTCCAGCAGTCTAAGCCTATAGCAGCAGAACTATAGAGATAGCTCAGGATAACCTGAGCCACTCTAACTAGAAGCTTTATCAAAAAGGAAAGTTTTAAGCCTAGCCTTAGTATATATGTTACACAGTCGTGTCGTTTTTGTTATCCAGGAGTAGTTCTTCAATATAACATGGATTAGGCCACACATCACAGATGCCCCCTTGAACAACTGATTATCTTTATTTAGATTAGTGTTTGTTTTTTAACAGCAGCAACAGGATAGAGCCTGTCTAATCAATGGGCGGAGCCCAAAACCTGAAGTTCTGGTTGATTAATGATTGAAAACCGTTTTTCATTTTGCTTTCTGTATAGTTCCTTGACTCTGGGGAGATCAAAGCCAAGCCTTTTCCTGTATCTGTGTCCTCCACCTGATCTAACCTGATGGATCTCTTTGTTTGGGGGCGGGTGGATATTTTCTAGGTACGTGGTAGAGCGTATAAACACGGAGGACCCCGACCGCCATGTGGTCTCTGAGGACCTGGGAGGAAGGCCGCATGAACTGGATGACCCGGAAGTGAAGGAAGTGGTGGATCAGCTGTTGAAAATAGCAGATGACCTGAATAGAAACGCAGAGTTCCAGCGGTAAGCGGTTAGCTCCCATTAGCGGTCAACCCCACCTCAATTCAATCAATTCAATTCAGTTATTTATATAGCGCCAAATTCACAACACATGTCATCTCAAGGCACTTTACAGTTCAACCAGATCATACAGTCAAATTGATACAAAGTTTTCTATCTAAGGAAAACCAGTTGATTGCATTGACTCATTGACTCTCCAGTAATCCCTCACACTAAGCATGCTTGTAGCGACAGTGGAGAGGAAAAACTCCCTTTGAACAGGAAGAAACCTCCAGCAGAACCAGGCTCACCTGTTTATAGAGCACTGATCCACAGCAGATGTTGTCTCAAGGATCGTCACTGCATCAACCAATCTCATGTTAGCAAGAAACATAGAATTAATTCCTATTAAGTGTTTGGGAAAAATAAAACTCAGTGAAATAGATGCAGGCGGCTTAATGTCGTCATGCATTTGTACTCGATGGCTCGAGTCAGTTTAACTATCTTACTAACTTATCATACCTGGGAAAACTTGAGATACATCGAGTATATTCGATATATTGCCCCCTCCTACAAAAGATTATGAAAAGTTATTAAAATGAAAATCATTCTATAAAGCAAAGCTCTACTTAACGAGTCTGTGCAGCATCTAGAACCAGAACAGATGGAGCATGTTCATCTAACAGGCCATCGTTAGCCCTGGCTGCCGCGGACGGGGCCAACGTTAGCCCTGGCTGCCGCGGATGCGGATGGGGCCAACGTTAGCCCTGGCTGCCGCGGACGGGGCCGACGTTAGCCCTGGCTGCCGCGGACGGGGCCGACGTTAGCCCTGGCTGCCGCGGACGGGGCCGACGTTAGCCCTGGCTGCCGCGGACGAGGCCGACGTTAGCCCTGGCTGCCGCGGATGCGGAAGGGGCCGACGTTAGCCCTGGCTGCCGCGGACGGGGCCGATGTTAGACCTGGCTGACGTTAGCCCTGGCTGCCGCGGACGGGGCAGACGTTAGCCCTGGCTGCTGCGGACAAGGCCGACGTTAGCCCTGGCTGCCGCGGATGCGGACGGGGCCGACGTTAGCCCTGGCCGGCGTTAGCTCTGGCTGCCGCGGATTTGCACAGGGCCGACGTTAGCCCTGGCTGCTGCGGATGCGGAAGGGGCCGACGTTAGCCCTGGCTGCCGCGGACGGGGCTGCCGCGGACGGGGCAGACGTTAGCCCTGGCTGCCGCGGATGCGGACGGGGCCGACGTTAGCCCTGGCTGCCGCGGACGGGGCTGACGTTAGACCTAGCTGACGTTAGCCCTGGCTGCCGCGGACGGGGCAGACGTTAGCCCTGGCTGACTTTAGCCCTGGCTGCTGCGGACGGGGCCGACGTTGGCCCTGGCTGCCGCGGACGGGGCCGACATTAGCCCTGGCGGACATTAGCCCTGGCTGCCGCGGACGGGGCCAACGTTAGCCCTGGCCCACGTTAGCTCTGGCTGCCACGGATGTGGACGGCGCCGACGTTAGCCCTGGCTGCTGCGGAAGCGGACGGGGCCGACGTTAGCCCTGGCTGCCGCGGACGGGGCCGACATTAGCCCTGGCTGCCGCGGACGGGGCAGACGTTAGCCCTGGCTGCCGCGGACGGGGCCGACATTAGCCCTGGCTGACTTTAGCCCTGGCTGCTGCGGACGGGGCCGACGTTAGCCCTGGCTGCCGCGGACGGGGCCGACATTAGCCCTGGCTGCCGCGGACGGGGCCGTCATTAGCCCTGGCGGACCTTAGCCCTGGCTGCCACGGACGGGGCATATATATATATATATATATATTTACTACTGTTTAAAAGTTTTGGGTCACCCAAACACTTTTGTGTTTTCCTGAAAAGTCACACTTATTCACCACCATGACCCCACAAATGTGATGCTCCAGAAACTCAATCTGCTCAAAGGAAGGTCAGTTTTGTAGCTTCTGTAACGAGCTTAACTGTTTTCAGATGTGTGAACATGATCGCATAAGGGTTTTCTAATCATCAATTAGCCTTCTGAGCTAATGAGCAAACACATTGTACCATTAGAACACTGGAGTGATAGTTGCAACTCCAGCAACTATCACACTGGAGTCATAGTTGCTGGAAATGGGCCTCTATACACCTATGTAGATATTGTACAAAAACCAGACATTGGCAGCTAGAATAATTCAATTCAATTCAGTTTATTTATATAGCGCCAAATTCACAACACATGTCATCTCAAGGCACTTTACAGTTCAACCAGATCATACAGTCAAATTGATACAAAGTTTTCTATCTAAGGAAAACCAGTTGATTGCATTGACTCATTGACTCAAATACAATCCCCCACACTAAGCATGCTTGTAGCGACAGTGGAGAGGAAAAACTCCCTTTTAACAGGAAGAAACCTCCAGCAGAACCAGGCTCAGTGTGAGCGGCCATCTGCCGAGGCCGACTGGGGTTCAAGGAGACAGAAGCAGAGATACAAAAAGCAGCTGTAAAAGGCGGCCCCGTCCAGGAAACACACAGCCAGGCAGACGAGCTCCAAGGCAGCTCCCATGCCAGAGGACGAAGAGAGCACATCCACTCAGTCACGGTCAGAGAAACAGGACCACACTGGAAAACAGGCCGATCTCCAACATCTATAAACAAGGGTGTTGATAGAAGCAGCACAGCTGATGTTTCTTTCCAGGATGACGTCACAGCCAAACAGGAACAGACGAGGCAAAGCTACTCTGAGGAAAAGCAGAGAGAGCAGAAGGTTAGAGATTGAACTAACAGATTCTGCAGAATAGGAGAACAGAGAGAGAATGAAGCAGAATGATGAAATGGGGGTCCCTATGTCCTCCAAAAGTCTAAGCCTATAGCAGCATAACTATAGAGATAGCTCAGGATAACCTGAGCCACCCTAACTATAAGCTTTATCAAAAAGGAAAGTTTTAAGCCTAGCCTTAAAAGTAGACAGGGTGTCTGCCTCACGGACTAAAACTGGTAGTTGGTTCCACAGGAATAGAATAGACTATTCTGTTCCACAGAATAGTCATTTACCACATTAGCAATGTATGGAGTTTGTTTATTTAAAGTTAAGACTAGTTTAAAGTTATCTTCATTGAAAAGTACAGTGCTTTTCCTTCAAAAATAAGGACATTTTAATGTGACCCCAAACTTTTAAACGGTAGTGTGTGTGTGTGTATATATATATATATATATATATACGTTACCCCGCCTGTCGCCCATTGACAGCTGTAGACCCCTCACGACCCCACTTAGGATTGATCGTGTTAGAGGATGGATGGATGGATATATCTATATTTAATTACTCTAATATTAAATATTTTTCTCACAAATATTTTCTAAAAAATTTCTGCTTGTATATGTAATGGTCAGAGTGTCAATTTTGGGCCTCCCTGCTGGCCATCAGGTTTAGCCCAGCTTCAGTTTCATGGTTCTGAGTAGGTGGACCTCAGTGTCACTTCTGTCACATTTCTGGTTCTTAACGACCCATTTTCCTTCTGCCAGGCTCATCAACCAGGTTCAGCTAAACTGCGCCAAGGAAGTCTTCATGATCGTGGCCAGAAGCATCTTTATGGACGGCATCAACTGGGGGAGAGTGGTGTCTCTCTTCCATCTGGCCTACAGACTCATTTACAGGGTAACTTCCTCTTTCCTCCGTCTGTCAGATCAACAATCCGGATGGACAACAGTCCTACTGAAAGAGCTGTGTTTCCATTTTGGTGATAAAGTCTTAATATTATGATAGGGAAGTCATAATATCATGAGTAAAATGTCAGTTCCAGATTGAAGTGGCTTAGATTGGTCTCATTGCTCAGGCTGCAGGTTGCTTCAGAGGATCGGCTCTCTGGTCTTGGTTTCAGCATCTCCACTAGGTGGCAGCAGTTTGTATCAGAAGATTTTAAATCCATTCATTTTTCTTTATGATGAAACCCTGATTTCCAGTTATGAAGGATGAGAATGTTACTTTAATATTCATGTTTGTAGCCTTTAACCAGGGGCGGATTTAGCAAATGTGGGGCCCTAGGCAAAGACAGGCAGGGGGCCCTCTGAATGGAGAATACAACTCATAAAACAGATTGATTCTCCAGATAGAGAAATGTCAATAGAAAAGACATCCATTATCTGTTCTAGGTTTTGTCCCTATCTCCTTGTCCCTTTTCTTGTTGTTTTCCTCTCTATTTTTTGTACTCAGCTGACTTTTCATGCTGTCTCTAAAGGAATGAAAGATTTTTTTCAAGCACTAAGCTCACTTAGCTGATTGATCCTTCCTGTGTTTCCAAAAAGGCCAAAGTAAATAACCCAGTCCTTCTTTTCACTGTAGACAAGCCATGATCTGCTTATCTGTTCTCCATTTTTCATTTGGATGAAATAATAGCTGCATGAATCATGACAGCAGACAAGATAGAGGAGAGCAGGAGGCGGGGTTACCAATCTACTTGCTCTGGAGAGCAGAGTTCGCTGCTTTTAGATGTTGTCTCCAAAGTCTCCAGTAGCAGAAAAAAGTCTCTAGATTTGGCGCTAGGAGCTTTTTAGAAATCAAAGTGCTAGAGGGGTCTGAAAAGTGGCTAAATATAGCGACTAAAGCGCTAAGTTGGCAACACTGCTCTTTGCATCGTTTGTTTTCAAATGGTTTGCTGCTGTCTGTTTGGACCTTTCTGAACATGTGCAGCAAATGGACTGATCCAATATGGTGGACACTGAAGGGGGGGGCTGAGACACACTTAATATTATCAGCGTTCTGATGGTATTTTAGTTAAAGGATTTGTATCAAAAATATAATTAATGTGCAGAAATAAGGAATATTTGTATTAACCATACATGGAAACTGTTTTATGGGGCCCCCAGGAACTTAGGGGCCTAGAACGCTGCCTAGAATTGCCTAATGGTAAATCCCCCCCCCTGCTTTTAACCACTGATGAAGATTCTCATCAAATTAAGCTATTCCAGCCTTTGGTTGAGGGAACATTCCAGAAACATGAAGCTCACGTCTAGCTGATGTCTAACCCTGCTTTGTTTCCAGGCTCTGACCACCAACCACCTGGAGAACATCCGGATGGTGACCAGCTGGGTCCTTCAGGTGATCAGAGAGCTGCTTTACCCCTGGCTGGTGCAGCAGGGAGGATGGGTGAGTGATTGGACCTCCCCCGCTTGGCGTCTAGCTCCATCTGCTGATCAAAGCTGCTAACCTGCTCCCTCTTGGTGCTCTAGGTTGGCGTGATCCAAAGCTTCTCCCGATGGAGGACTGCCATCATTGCTGCGTCGGTTGTTGTCATAGCAACATTTGTTTACTACAGATCGAAACGCTGAGAGCCGCAGCCTTTCCTGGAGACATGCAGGATGCTGACAAGGACAGTTCCTCCAACTTCAACAATCATTCCTCAACCTGAAATAGTTCTGAAATCGATATATAAATGTGTTTAGATGGATAGATAGATGCAATAAGTGACCTGGTGCAACACTGAGGTCTGTCCTGCTTCAGTGCTCATCACATCAAATGTTAGCATCTAACTTCTGTTTTCCTGATTGGAGATCCTGCAACCATCAGCTGTGTGGGAGCTTGCTGCACAAGTTGGAGGTTCTCCTGGGTTTCAGTAAAATACAGACTTTATGGTAGCTAGAATTAAGCCTGCCGGCTTTGCCGTTTAATCTGACGGACCTTTATGGGCATGGCTGCAGCAGCGGCTGAAAGCGCTGATCGTTTCTTTCCCCGTTGAGAACTGGGCACCAGAGTTCACCTTTTCACTCCATCCTTGCAATGAAAATCTCAGGGAGACATTTTCTAATGAATCCTTATTAAGGTGTTTCTTTTAATAAACAGAGATGCTTTAAGGTGCAAGTATTTAACAAAGCGGTTCCAGTCCTCCTTAGGTGGGTCTTCTGCTGCTCAGGGATCACTCGGTTAAAAAGTATTTTAAAAGATAAATTTCATAGAGGATAAATTTGTTGCAAGTTTTTAATTTGAAAATAAATGAGACTTGAACTGCTGCAGATCATTTCATTGTGGCAGAACTACATGGTGTGAACTTTTTTCTGCTCACTGATTGGAGGAGTCTTATTTAAACCCCTAGTTTTGATTTAATCAGGCCTGATCACAGACCTCTGAAACTGCCCAGAGGCCTGAACCACGAAGCAGGATTACTGTGTTTCAGGGATTACTTTTATTTAATTTTATGTCTGCTTCTGTCCCCTGACTGGGGTTCAAGGAGACAGAAGCAGACATAGAAAAAGAAGCATAGATACAAAAGGCAACTGTCAACCAGCTCCACAGGCGGCCTCGTCGATAAAACACAAAGCCAGGCAGACGAGCTCTGAGCCAGCTCCCATGTCAGCGGATGAAGAGAGCACATCCAGTTAGTCACAGTCAGAGAAACAGGACTACACTGGAAAACAGGCCAAGCTCCAACATCTAGAAACATCTCTATCTTCACTCCTGAGGGGCATGCAGTGACATTAAAAACACTTGGAGCAGCTTGAGGCTGCAGCTGACTGTTGGATGGAACGCTAGCTCACCAGACTAGCATAAGCGATGGGACTTCAGCTTCTGTATCCATCAAAGCAAATTTCTTAAAGAGTTTTACGGTTTTGATGTATCCCCGCTATCATCAGTGTATTAACTGCTAAATCAATTCAGTTTATTTCTATAGCACCAATTCACATCATGTCATCTCAGGTCACTTTCCAGTTCAACCAGATCATCCAGTCAGATTGATTCAAAGTTTTCTATCTAAGGAAAACCAGCTGATTGCATCGACTCATTGACTGGAAGGCAGCTGCGCTGAAGCTCCAACCAACCCTGTGATGTCACCGCTCAGACTACTGCAACATGACGGTGCCCCGCCAGAAGAGAGAAATCTATGCAGATAAACCCTCAGCCAGTATTCAGGACTAAAACCTGAAAGAGGAGAACATGAAGTCAGTGACAGTAAAATCCCAGCCAATAGCTGTCTAGAGGAGAGAAAGTGTTAACCACTGAAAGACAGAACCAGGAGGATCATCTATACATGAAGACAGCAGCTCAGCCAATATCCTCCATCTGGACAGAACAGCAGGTGAGATGCACCTGCTATAAGAGAGCGAAACATTTCTGCTCCCGTAAGGTTGGGCTAAACCAGGTGAGGAAAAGGAAAACTAAAAGAATGCTTAACTTTAAGGTTTACTGTAGTAAAGTACCAACTTAAAATTTAAAGTATTAAAAGCATATATGGGTTTGTTAACATTTAAAAATAAAAAAAGGCTGGTAGGATGCCATAATGAAAATATTTTCAGGGATTCACATGCCTGTAATGTTAGGTAAGCCTATGGCAGCATAACAACAGAGATGGAATGAAACAGAGTGATGAAAACATTGAAATAAAATTTGGTGTTTATGCATCCATGATATACATTGAAATTTTAAATAAATTTTTTTTTCTCCCAGTTTTAAATCTAAAGTGTTTTTTTTTTTTTTTTTTATAGAGAACAACAATTGTTCAGTTTGGTTTATAGACAATTTCCTGATTCCCATATTTTCTCAAACACCTGAACTGATCTTTTGTTCTTTTCTTTCTTTTTTCTGTCTTAATGTTGGCAGTGGGCTTTATGCTGCCCTGCAAGGCTTTAAACCTGGGTTTAACCAGAGACTAAGTCATTCTCAAGCACATATCAAGGTGCTAATTTTGAGCCGGCATCCAGATTTATTGTTGATTCTGTTCATGGTGGAGAATCCTGCTTCACAGCAGCAGGTTGAGCCAAACATCCTCTAAATGTGCAGGGTCATCTTTGAGCACGCCATTTCACTTTTCTTTCACCAGTTCACCGCAGTTCTTCCAGCAGTCCACACTTTCTCTGCTCTCTTTTTCTCCTTGTCTTCTCCTTCTTTCCCATCGCCCGGCTTGCCACAGGTTTGCCTGCTGTGTCTAAAAGTAGCAGCAGCAGCAACCCAGACTGGCAGCTCATTGGCTCATTTGGATCACGTGCAGCCTGGAGCCGGACGCTCCGGAGGCCTTTACCATATTAACAGGAGAAGCGGTGCAAGTGAAATTAGACACTGTCTTCGGACAACATGCAGTGAGTGCAGGTGAGTCCGGATTAGCCAGCAGGTGGGTCAGGGTCCGCCAGCAAGTGAGTCCGGATTAGCCAGCAGGTGGGTCAGGGTTAGCCAGTAAGTGAGTATGGATTAGCCAGCAGGTGGGTCAGGGTTAGTCAGCTGGTGGATCTGGATTAGCCAGCAGGTGGGTCAGGGTTAGCCAGCAAGTGAGTCCGGTTTAGCCAGCAGGTGGGTTCGGGTTAGCCAGCAGGTGGGTCCGGGTTAGCCAGCAGGTGAGTATGGATTAGCCAGCAGGTGGGTCTGGATTAGCCAGCAGGTGGATCTAGGGTGGCCATTTCTATAGCACCAAAAAGGAGGACATTGTGCAGCATATCAATAAATTACTACGGTGTACATAAGAATCGGGTAAAGTCACATTTATAGTACAATTCTTAGTAGTTTAAAGATGATGCTTGTGTAGTTGAATAGAACAAAATATTAAAGAGATGTAAAAAAAAGAATTGGTTCCCAGCATTTGTATTTATTTAATACATTGTGGTGTTTAAAAAGTGACTATTTTTTGACACGATTAATTTGAGCAGAACTGCTGCAATTGATCATAAAGCAGTTGTTTGGAAAATAAGCTTGAGGCGGAGAGAGAGCTAGAGAATAGGACAATACATATGTCAAAAAGTGGCTGGAAAAGAGGAATTTGTGACATGGCTGCAGCCTGTCGAGAGTAAAGATGATTTCACCATGTTATCTATCTATCTATATATATATATATCTATATATATATATATAGATATATATATATATAGGTATATATATACAAACTTGAGTCATGGAACAGTGCTTACAGCTCCTTATTTCATGTATACTAATAACTTGTGTACATGATACTTGTTGATGAAATTAAAATTATTTCTAATAGCATTAAAAGAGCATTAAATTAGAGTTCCTCATTCCGGTATAAACCCTGTGAACGTTTAATTTAATATGACATATTAAAAAAAATCCCCATCATCATCCAGCAGATGTTCAGTTTATGCCCAAATATTTTCTTTCTGTTGTGGATTTTTGTAACAGGAATAAACAGGATCATCCATAGTTTGTATGAACTATGTTTGTTCTCCGCTTCCAAACTCATCATCTCTTCATCCATTCCTGCAATAAGAATTTTTTGGTCTGTTGAAGCACCAATAGTCTGCATCCAGTTATTTAATTAATTGCTCTTAATTTTGGGAATATATACGAACTATGCTCTAATTTCTAGTAACCGACCTGTTTTTACTATAATTTAATTTGACAAACCGGGTCTTCTCTACATTCTTTATCCTGTTTGGTGCGATTGCAATTGCGGGTCTTGATCTGGACTGACGGGAGCGGAGCCAAAAAGAGCTCAGTTCCGTATTTTGACGGTGAAGGACAGAGAAGACGTACGTGGACAGAGACGTGCGGAGGAGTAGTGGAGGATGTGGAACAGCTCTCATTGATTTACATGACAGACAAGTACTCCGCACGACATACTTGAGCGGAGCGGAGCACTGACGGAGTATGTGGAATCTGGGGGTAAAGGAGGGCAAATACACGTCCGGCTGGATGCGGCGCCGGACGCCGGACAGTGCAATGAAAATCCGGACTGTCCGCCCTAAAGCCGGACATCTGGCCACCCTAGGTGGATCCCGGTTAGCCAGCAGGTGGGTCAGGGTTAGCCAGCAGGTGGATCCCGGTTAGCCAGCAGGTGGGTCCGGGTTAGCCACCAGGTGAGTATGGATTAGCCAGCAGGTGGGTCCGGGTTAGCCACCAGGTGAGTATGGATTAGCCAGCAGGTGGGTCTGGATTAGCCAGCAGGTGGATCCCGGTTAGCCAGCAGGTGGGTCAGGGTTAGCCAACAGGTGGGTCCGGGTTAGCCTGCAGGTGAGTATGGATTAGCTAGCAGGTAGGTCCGGATTAGCCAGCAGGTGGGTCTGGATTAGCCAGCAGGTGGGTCAGGGTTAGCCAGCAGGAGGGTCCGGGTTAGCCACCGGGTGAGTATGGATTAGCCAGCAGGTGGGTCAGGGTTAGCCAACAGGTGGGTCCGGGTTAGCCTGCAGGTGAGTATGGATTAGCTAGCAGGTAGGTCCGGATTAGCCAGCAGGTGGGTCTGGATTAGCCAGCAGGTGGGTCAGGGTTAGCCAGCAGGAGGGTCCGGGTTAGCCACCAGGTGAGTATGGATTAGCCAGCAGGTGGGTCTGGATTAGCCAGCAGGTGGATCCCGGTTAGCCAGCAGGTGGGTCCGGGTTAGCCACAAGGTGAGTATGGATTAGCCAGCAGGTGGGTCCGGGTTAGCCACCAGGTGAGTATGGATTAGCCAGCAGGTGGGTCTGGATTAGCCAGCAGGTGGATCCCGGTTAGCCAGCAGGTGGGTCAGGGTTAGCCAACAGGTGGGTCCGGGTTAGCCTGCAGGTGAGTATGGATTAGCTAGCAGGTAGGTCCGGATTAGCCAGCAGGTGGGTCTGGATTAGCCAGCAGGTGGGTCAAGGTTAGCCAGCAGGTGGATCCCGGTTAGCCAGCAGGAGGGTCCGGGTTAGCCACCAGGTGAGTATGGATTAGCCAGCAGGTGGGTCTGGATTAGCCAGCAGGTGGATCCCGGTTAGCCAGCAGGTTGGTCCGGGTTAGCCACAAGGTGAGTATGGATTAGCCAGCAGGTGGGTCCGGGTTAGCCACCAGGTGAGTATGGATTAGCCAGCAGGTGGGTCTGGATTAGCCAGCAGGTGGATCCCGGTTAGCCAGCAGGTGGGTCAGGGTTAGCCAACAGGTGGGTCCGGGTTAGCCTGCAGGTGAGTATGGATTAGCT